TCAAACCCTAGAATTCTACAAGTTTAAAATTCAACCTTATATTAATCTTATAATAAATAAAGTATAAGGTTGAATTTTAAACTTGTAGAATTCTAGGGTTTGAAATTTAAATAATTCAAATTAAACTTTTAATCAAAATTTAAATTTCAAAACTTCAGGGCAAGTTTTGAACTTTTCACAACACATAGGATCAAATGGCAAATAATTTAAATTAAACATTTAATTTAATGATTATCTAAATCTGATCTATTCTATTTTAATCACAAGATAATTCATCAAATAAATCAAATAATCAAATTTTATCATATAAGGAATTTATTATTTAATTAATTGGTAATTATCTTTTGTTTTGGTAAGAATAATCATATAGAAGCAATAAAAATCGGATTTTATTTGTTAAACACAGTTTTAGTAATTATCATATAGCAAAACAGCAAGAAATCCCGAGATATCCTCTCTGACAACTAAAACTCGCCGAGTTCCCAATGTGAACTCGTCGAGTTCCTCATTGGGATTCGACGAGTTCTTCTGACAGATGGCCAAAAATCAAATTTTCAAAGCATGAATGAAATACTAGGCATCAAATACAATAGAAACCAATCAAGGCTCTGATACCACTGATGGGTTTGATCCAAAACAACATCATATGCGTTCATGCAAACCCTAAAGCTTGGATCTAGGTTTCTCTATTGTACATGCAATTCATCCAAGACTTATAAACCCTAGATCTAGCATGCATATTTCGAAATTAACATAAGAAATCAGATCTAGATGATTACCTCTTATACAATGGATTGAATCTTCTTGTCTTGGAGCTTAGAGTCACAAATGTCACTCCTCTAATGGCTTACAAACACGACAAGCAAGAGGATGCTAATTGAGATAGAGGGAATGGCACAATTTCGGCTGTGAATGCTCTTAGGGTTTTCAGTGGCCGAAAATTAGATGCCCTAGGGTCTTATTTATACTGGTGCTGCTAGGATTTCCAGTGGCCGAAAATTGAATGCCCTAGGGTCTTATTTATACTGGTGCTGCTAGGGTTTCAGTCAAAACCCTAATAGATAGCTTAGGCCTTAAGCAGTCCAAGGAAGCTTCTGGAATAGGGCCTCTATGGCCGAAATTAGGATGGACACATCCTTAATTTCGTCCAAGCCTTAGTCCATAAGCCTTCTCAGCCCAATACTCAACTATCACACATTTTACAGTTTAAGTCCCCGTTATTTAATTAATGTCTTTTAGTCACAGAATTAATTCTTAATTAATTCTTGTCTAATACTAATTAAATTATATGATTTCTCTTTTAATATATTATTCATATAATATGTTAATAAACCATAACAACCTCTCACTTAATAAATCATCCTATCATGTTGCTTTGGTGAAGGCAACCCAAAAGGACCATGCACAATCGGGTCAAGTACTTACCAAATATAGTTACGGGCTTAGACACTAATCCAATACTTCTTTCACTTATGGTTTAGTTATTGACTAGTTTCTTAGACATTTTTGTTTGTTGTTTTAAATTTGGATATGTCTAAATTATGGTTTAATTATCTAGTACTAGTTCATTTGGTGTATTAACAAGCGCATTGTTTATATTAGTCACTATAAATGTTAGTTTAAGACTAAACTTTGGTTTAAAACTATAGCAGGTTAGGGACCAAATGTCATTATATTTGAGACTAATATTCAGTCACTAGAAAATCAGGTTAGGGAGCAAATGTCATTGTATCTGAGACTGGCATTCAGTTACTGAAAAATCTGGTTAGGGGTTGAATTAAAATGTATCTGAGACTGACATTCGGTAACTAAAAATCGGGTTAGGGACCAAATGAAAGTGTATATGAGACTGATATTCAATCAATAAAAATCTAGTTAGAGACAGAAGATGATACCATTTGAGACTGATATTCAGTATTAAATAGATATTATCAGGGACTGATATGACTTGAGTAAGGATTTTAATGAAGCGTATTGGAGACTGAATGATATAGTATGTAAGACTGATTTTTAGTCCCCAAAAGTTATTATCAGGGACTGATCTTATATGAAATCGTGGATTTAAAGAAAACACATTTAAGACTGAATTTGATATTATGAGGGACTGATTATCTGTCTTTGATACTATTACATATTAAGGACTGATTTTCAGTCCCAAATATAAAAAAAAACACTATCTAGGACTAGGTTTCTGGGACTAGCTTAGGACTAGCGAAATCAGTCCCTGATTCTCATTAGAGACTGATTACTAACCATCAAAGACTGAATATGTCAATCTCTGGTACCCCTTTTTCTTGTAGTGATGTAGGTTTGTCCCATATTGGCGGGTGAAATTGATTTCTACAATGTCTATGCACCACTCTGTGACACACTACTAAGAAACTACTACAAAACCTTAATCCAGTGGCTATGTAAGAATAAGGTTATGTAGGTATCTTATTCCATAAAATATAGAACATATAGCATGCAACACAATTTATATAATAATAAAAAAGGATGCAAAGTATCATACTCATTTAGTTTAGTGCTAAATGAAAGAAATAGCAATTACTTTATTTATTTCTTTATTTAACCTACTATTCTCATTTCTGTCTATTACAACAATGTACTTTCGTTTTTTTTCTTATTAGCGCATTGTGCTTTGAATATCCTACCAAATTGTCACATTGTAATTTCTATTCTTTTTTAAAAAGATATTGTACTTTCGAAAATCTACCCAATTAGAGCAGTGGAAATAGCTTTGCAGCTTTGCATTTGAATGATAGTGCTATAACTAGGTAGATTTTTCATAAGTACAATCTTGTATATGAAGAAATGAAACTAGGATGCTATAGTGAACAATAATGGAAGTACAATGCTTTTTCCGCATTTAACTCTATAATTAGTCGGCCATACAAGCACTTAGTAAAATATGATTGAGCTACATTGTGAAGACATGATGTTTTGAATTAGGTCCAGAACTTTGATCCTTGCACTGATGATTATGTTTTCTCATCTGAAAGGTGCAAGGTGCTCTTCACGCCCGGAATATCTCATGGACACATTGCATGTACTTTTGTCCTCTAAAACTAGGATGCTATAACAAACATAGCAAGGAAAGTACGATAATTTTTCTTGCATGTAACCCGTGATTTATGTGCCATAGTATTGTTACATGGACAAACAGCCCAACAAGAACTTTTCCTACTATCACTCATCTTATTGAAAATTGTATTAATGTCTGGATATACAGGTAAGTCGAACTAGTCTACACTTAACTAAATCTTGGATGCAAAACTCCTAACTTTTTACAAATTTGTCCCTAGTCGTATTTTACACCATCATTTATCCAGACAACATTTCACAGGGAGAAAAAAAAAAGAAACAAGGCACAAGTTAGCATGTCACACAAAAGTTACATTTGATTTATAATGAATTGGTAGTGGTCACATGGATGCACGGGTCCTAGTAACATCCTCAAAGTACACTGTTGTAGACAAACTAAAGCTTCGAGTAGTGACTCCTTGGCGACCAGGGTACTATAAGAAAGATGTAACAGCATCGGTGTTGGCAAAAAATAAATAAAAGATTATAATATCCAAATCTAATAAGTTAATGTTAAAAAATGATAGGTTGGAGGATATGTGGTAGGCTATAAAGGAGTTGTACTTACCATAGTAAGATCAGGCGCAATACAGTCCCAAGCTACCAGCCAAAAAGAGCATTAGCATTGCTAATGATCTCATCATTCCTTCAAGGAAAACTTAATTCCTCCATCTTTCACAAATGATAAAGGGTCATTTACAGCATATGATTTGGATTAACAAAAGTTGAAATTATCAAAAAAAAAAAAAAAATTTACTTCTCATGGTATTGCTACATTTGTAGAGGGTGAAAAAATGAAAATTGTTCTTGTGATGTACTCCCTCACTTAGTGATGTGCTCTCAGGAAGAAGGTACTTCGAATTGGAAACAAGAAATAAAAAAAATAAAAAATAAAAAAAATAGGGATGATGGTTATATAGCATATTTTTTTTGTACAAATCATATAAACAAATAAAATTTGAAACATAAATAAGGCAAACAGGTTAAAATAAAAGGTGCCCTGAAGATAAAACCATGTGTTGTCTCTGACTCAAGAAAGCAAAAAAATTGCAAATATGTTTTTGAAGAAATATACATAAAGCACATGCACCCAGCCCGGATAGGTAAAATACCAAGTAAAATTTAGAAAAATGAAATAGAGGAAAAAAAGACGTCTCTATTCATAAAGAGATATTATAAATAAATGCTGAAACAAACATATTCTTGGCTTATCCGGCTGCTAAACACTAATTTAACCAAAATCAGAAAATATAATGATTTTAATAGATACAAAAAAAAGTAAATAACATAATCGTTTTTTAGCATTGTCCTTGAAAATCCGACTTTAATTTTTCATGAATTGGTTCAATGGGGAGTTTACAACCAACTACCGTTTGTTCTTCAAGAGGTTCCAAAGAGCAAGACAAATGAGCATAGTAAATGACGTTACAACTTACAACAGCACACAACCAGCTGCAAAGAATTCTTCAACCATGCTTCTTCTCTCACAATATATAAAGAGAGACACAACACACATAATAACATATATGCCTGATACAGCTTCTTCTATGCCAATATCTAAAATGAACCACATTTCTTATTATTTGTTGTTAGTTTTTTCACTTTATTTTCTGGGTTTCTGTGTTGCAAGAAAGGATAACCAGATCACCAACCTCAACAAATTGATCGAGTCAAGAAGATCAGAGAATCCGCCACATGTCAAACCATGGACAGAAGAAGATACATCAAACTTATCTCCACTTTCTATTGTCCCTCAACAAGGGTCAAAGGAAGAAGATATGATTGACAAGTTGCCAGGCCAACCACAAGTCGATTTTGATCATTATTCAGGCTATGTAACAGTCGATTCAAAAGCAGGAAGGGCGTTGTTTTATTACTTTGCTGAATCACCTCACAATTCTTCAACCAAACCTCTTGTCCTATGGCTCAATGGAGGTAATGCATCTATTATGATAAAAGTCTATGTGAAAAAACAAAACAATAACGCATTATTTTCACACAAAAACCGACTTAAAATAATGTAAAACTAGTAATGATGGTATTATACAGGGCCAGGATGCTCGTCATTTGGATACGGAGCCATGGAAGAACTTGGACCCTTCCGAGTCAACAGTGATGGGAAAACACTCTACCGCAATGACTATGCATGGAACAATGGTAACAAAAATTGATGAGGGCATTCATGTCTTTTTCACATACAAAAGCGAGTACATTTCAAATAATTTCATTTTGTCCCAGTTACATATCCTGTTTCTGTGAATACAATGTGAAAGCCTAAATACTGAAAATTTTGACAGCGGCTAATGTACTATTTTTGGAATCGCCTGCTGGAGTTGGGTTCTCGTATTCGAATAGATCATCTGACTACACGACAGGAGACAAGCAAACAGCGAAAGACTCATACACTTTCCTCATCAACTGGCTTGAAAGATTCCCTGAATACAAAACCCGAGATTTCTTTATTACAGGTGAAAGCTATGCAGGTCACTATGTACCTCAACTCGCATCCCTCATTCTCTCAGAAAACAAGAAAACTAACGGAACAGTCGTTAATCTTCGTGGGATTGCAGTAAGTAATTATCGTACTGACATGACAGTACATGACAGGACAGGTTGTACTCCTTTTGTTCCACACTAAAAGGCGGGACAAGGACTCACTCTTGATCACTTGTTTGTGCAAAAGACATAAATGCCGTTATCATCCTTGTCATCTATCGTGTGTACTATGCCACGTAAGGACTAATACCAAATGTGTATGTCTTGTGATTGTGTAGATTGGGAATGCTTGGATTGATGACAATACATCTTATGAAGGGATGTATGACTACTATTGGACACATGCCCTAAACTCTGATGAGACAAATGAAGGTATCAACAAGTACTGTGACTATGTTACTGGGAACTTCTCAGAAGAGTGCTACAAGTATCAAAGCCAGGGAAACGGTGAATACGGTGGAATTGATATTTACAACATTTATGCACCATTTTGTGATGATACTACACAAAAATCTGGAACCACCGGATCTGTAAGTCTCTGATTCTATAATAATAAAATATATCCTACTCTTTTAATTAAGGGATAATGGAAGAAATAGCGACATATTTTGCTCACTTGTTTTATCGTAGCGTATTACTGTTGTTCACACAACATTGTAATTTCAAATCTTTTTTCTTATTAAGATTTACCTATTTATAGCAATCTACATTCAGTTTATTTTTCATGATGACATTGAAGTTTAGAAAATCTACCCAATTATAGCAATGGAAATTGATTTTTATTTAGATGGCATCACAATAATTGGGTAGATTTTCCAAATTATATTGTTGTGAAAGGTTGAAATATAAGTAGGATGCTACAATTAACAAATTAACAAAATTACGTTGCTATTTCTTTCATTTAGCCTATAATTATTCGACCATAAAACCAATTATTAAATCTAATTGAAATACATATGATGTGTTGAACTAGGTCAAGACCTTTGATCCTTGCTCTGATGATTATGTTGACTCATATCTAAATCGAGCAGACGTGCAAGAAGCTCTTCATGCCCGAAATACATCATGGTCACATTGCGGGTACCTTTTTCACAAAAACTAGGATTCCATAATAAACATATCAATGAAAGTATGTTGTTATTTCTTGCATATAACCCCTGATTTTTTGTATAGCGGTGTTGGATGGACAGACAGCCCAACAACCATTTTGCCTACTATCACTCAACTTATTGAAAATGGAATTAGTGTTTGGATATACACGTTAAGTTCACCTACTCTACCATCCAACTTAGCATGGTCTATACACAACAGAAACTTACATTTGATTTATAATGAATTGGCAGTGGTGACACGGATGGACGGGTCCCAGTAACATCTTCAAGGTACTCTATAAATAAGTTGAAACTTCCGGTAGAGATTGCTTGGAGACCATGGTACTATAACAAAGAGGTACATGATATTTAAAACTGAAATCACATTGAATAACAGTATACATGTTCATGAAATAAATGTATAAATGCAAAGTAGTTGATGATAAAAATGTTATAGGTTGGAGGATATGTGGTAGGCTACAAAGGAGTTGTACTTACCACAGTAAGAGGAGCAGGGCATTTAGTTCCAAGCTACCAGCCAGAAAGAGCATTGCAAATGATCTCATCATTCCTTCAGGGGAAACTTCCTCCATCTTTGGCATAATTACCTTAAATGCCACTGAGTAGTTTTAGTTTCTCACTTGTTAGAATCAAATAACTATGAACAGCAATGAATCTGAGTTTGATTGATTGCTTTATATTCTATTAGGATGAAAGATTAACAAAAATAGAAGGAGATGAAATCTGAAGACTGTGATGCGGATTTTATGAGTGTTTAAATTGTTGTGATGAAGGTAAACCCTCAAAGTTTTCTTGACTAAAGTCAGAGGAAAGTACTTGTACCAGATTGTATTTGAAATAAAAATCTCCAGGTGTACCAGATTATAACTTTAAATGCAATGATACATGCCTCCATAATAATTGCATAATGTCCAGGTGTAGCAAAAAGAGCAAATTTGATGATATATGCATCAGAAACTAGAGAGCTACAACAAACAATCCCCATGTAAATCAATGATAACAACCTAGAAAACTATCATGATAGAAAAATGCACTGAATCTTTGAAAAAAGTTAAAGTGTAGGAAGTAAAAGTATAAAATAGATAAGAAAAAAACGGATAATTACAAGAGAAGTGATGAACAACCCCTAACAACAACTAGGCGATTAGAGAATTAATCAGCCGTGTGAAGTCTCAAATTACAGTTTTTTTATGGTTCCACTGATTCACAGCTCCACCCCACGATCTACCAGCTGATGGTTCCCCCACTCCCAAGTTCCTCCACTTCTTTGGATCTTTGTAACTCCCCCCAGAACTTGTGGATGAAACAACCTAAATCCCTAAATTGCAGTACCCACGATCTTTGGATAAATCAACCCACGATCCCACTCATTTTCATAACTGCTCATTTGTCCCTGAAGTTATTAGGCTCAAGGGAGGAGTGCGGATTTGGCCGCACTCAATGCCACAACACCGCGCCCTATCCGGTTTTGGATGCGGTTTGCGCGCATCTCCCAAAAACGGTCGCTCTCTCTTTTTTTTTTTTTTTTTTTTTTTCTCTCTTCATTCACGTGTGTTTCTCTCTGTGCTCTTTTCTCTAACCTCTCTGTGGCTCCTACGTGTCAAAAGAGGAAGTGTGGTTCTTGTGGCACCACTCCCTCCAGCCTATAAGGCTGTTGGGTGGTGTGGGTATTATGTTATTAATTTTATCACACCCAAAAGGTGTCACATCCTCATCCTTGTCATACATTGATGTTATAACACCCAAAAATGAAAATGGGCAACACCAAATAACATGTGATAACACCGTTTATTTTTTATTTTATTTTTTAATTTTTTTGATGTTTTTAATTTCTATATGTCCAATTTCTTTTTTTCTTATTTATGTCATAATATTTATAATTATCATATAAATTAAATCATAAATTAAAAATAACATTTAAAAAGTAAAAACAAAATTTTATTAAATCATATATTAAAAACAACATTAAAAAAATTTCAACAAATGATGAAAACAATTAAAAACTTAAAAACCAAAAAAAAAGATGAGAACAATTACATTTTTTAACCTAAATTATTCATCTGCAGTACCATCGTAGATATTATCTTCCAAGTCTTCTCGAAGTTGCTTGTCTTTTCATTGGTCTTGAATGTCAACGACTCTATGTAAGTATTATGTTGTCCCTTGTTCCGTAAGAGAATACTTCGCAATGTTTTGTCCTTTATCTTCAATTACCATGTTATGTATTATGATACATGCAGACATAATATCTCGTAGAGTGTCCAAGTGATATGGTCGTGCCATATTATCAACTATGTATCATTTTGTTTTCAGAACTCCGAAAGCACATTCCACATCCTTACGTGCTCCTTTTTGTCTTCTCTTCAAAAATTTGTCTCTTGGTTCTATCGGGTGTCGAAACGCCTTCACAAACGTGGAATATGGTGGATATATTCCATCCGTGAGGTGATACCTAAACTTATACTCATGGCCATTCACTCTGAAAGGAGCATCCGGTGCCTTTCCTGTCAAAAGGTCCTGAAATATTGGTGAATGATCAAGAACATTTACATCGTTGTTAGAACTCGCAACTCCGAAAAAAGCATGCCAAATCCATAAGTCTGCTGAAGCAACAACCTCTAATACTAACGAAGGCGCTCCAAGATGGCCACTTGTGTATTGACCTTTCCATGACACATGACAATTTCTCCATATCCACTTTATGCAATAAATGCGTCCAAGCATACTCGGAACACCATGTCGATCTTCATGCGCCGCATATAGTTGTTTCGTGTCATTCAATGAAGGTTTGCGCAGGTATTTGTCACCGAAGGTTTTGATAATGTCACACCCCCAAACCAGAACGGCGGAATCGTTCGAGGGTGGATGACTTCATGTAGTATCATAACAGTTGAGTACATAGTAAAGAAAGCAAACACAACCATCATAAATATAATTTAAAAAGTTACATTGTTGGTAGTATTACATGTTTCAAAGGAAATTACATTATGATGATATAATAAGTTTGGAATTTGACCCCTTAGCGTTCCTTCCCCAAAAGCTGTTGTTATACCTGTATTACTGAATCCCTGAGAAATACAAGTAGTTTTGAAAAAGTGTCAACAATTAAGTTGGTGAGTTCATAAACGTTTTTGTATTAAAGTTGTATGCCTTTCTGTAAAAGTGACTTTGTTGGTTTCTTAGAAAATCCAATATTTTCCATAAATATGTAGTAGTTTTAAATGATTCGAAAACCAAAATGCATAAGTATTTTCCCTATCTAAAATAGTGTAAGTGGATTTATATATGTATATATAAACAAATAAGACGTTTGATAGTCCCATAAATCAAATGTTCTAGTACTTTGTGTGAGTTTTATAACCATGCTAATGATCCAGACTGCCTGTAACAACGTTCTTCAGGCGTTGAAATGATATGACGTTTGTCACCCCAGACCTGCCGGTCTAACTGTAGCTAACAGTTTAGGCGCGGGATTGTCAATCCCGTATAGATCTATACACAAGTATCGCGCTTTCCCTACAGGAGATTATGGTTTATAACACAGGACTTGAAATGCATACTTGAAAGTACGTGAAGTTAAATATCTCACAAAAGTTTGTATCAAATAGATATACGTATGAAAAGTCCATTTTTCTTGTAAATGTAAGTGTTTCATTTCTATAGTGTTTTTAGAGTGCAAAATATCATGAATATCTCGTAAACTATACCTATTATAGTTTTTCAAAAGTGTGTTTCATTTGAATGATAAA